AATTTGTTGTTGACGCTCGTTAAGACGTGGCCTTGAGGTACTGCACTCGGTGGAGCACTAACCAGAGCCCAAATGAACGACTAAATGAATTTTACAGAATTAAGTAAGTACGCCTTTTTTGAGCTAGAAAATAACCTAGTCCTGTCAATTGTTACGCTTTGCAATTGTTAGTGCTTTGACATCGTGCCGCTCGAGAGGAAATCATGCGCGACTCTTGTATTGTGCTATTAGGTAAGTGTTAATTTGCTGAATTCTTTCTATGAACTCTGAAAAATGACCTTCAAAAGACAAACAAATATGCTGTGAATAATAAAGCCATATATTCGTTATGCATGAGATATATTACACGATCTATGAACTTGGCCGCTACTTTGAATATAATTCACACCAGGGCCATAATGACCACCATTACTACTATTTACACGAACCCATTATAGTCTGTTAACATTTTTTACGATCTAAAAGGCAAGGTGAAGAGTGTTATATGGGCGTGCACATGTATATCTTCGCCAGCCAAGGTTCATTTATTCGATCGTCACTTCACAGCGAAACCGTGCGAACGATTAGAGGGATTGTAACTGTTCAAAACACCATCCCGATCCCGGTCAAATTTACATCTTCCTGCCTAGCCTCAACCAACCATCCAACCAACCAACCACCCAACCGGTTCTATCGTACTAGACTTTTGTTCGACAGAGTCACGTCCATTTAGACGTTAAACGCCACGGGAGACTTTGTCATCATGTATAGTTTGTATTAGAGACTAATGAGTTTTCAAGGACGGGGCGGGGACTTCGAAAGTAATCAAGTAAGGGCGAACTGTTTCTTCCTGCAATGCTTGCATGAAACGTGCGAAGCATAATATGCTTTGTGTCAGGATTATCGAAGGGTATCCGAGAACTAGTTAAAAAACATTTTCATGAAAACAATATATACATGATATACACCAAATGTATACACATTTGTAGACGATACTCAAAATTGCACCCCCATTTCATTCGATAAAAGTATGCAAAAATGGGGGCGGGGTATTCTGAATCGTTCTACACAAGATATTGGCTAACAGGAAACCTCGATGTACATATTCAATGACATATATGTAATTAAATCTTAAGATTCATAGCATTTGTATTCACTTAATCCATATACATGTATGCAAGTTCGTGGGCACTCACAGTCTTATCATGTATCCTGGCTCCACACTGTTAACATTTCGGAACCACATCACAATTGGAACGTACTAAAAATGCTTGTATTAACGTAAAAAATGCGTTTTTTAACGAACGCTGTGCATAATTTTCAAGTCTGTATACAGATAATAAAAAGTTTAATTTGGTTATGAAAAGTACTAAAAGTATCTTCATATAATTTACTATTAATACAATTCTACAAGACAGCAACAGCCAACATTTCTCTGGGCAGGTGATTACACAAATTAGCCATTCTCCCAAACATAAACAGCTCGTTGAATACTGCTTTGATCATACCATGACGGTGCCTTGATTATCTACACAGGGACATTTTATCTACAAAGGGGAGTTGTTGATAGTACTTGTTGCTGTGACGGGGGCGTATTTAACACTTCTGGTACCATTGCATCGTAACTAAACATAATATAAAACAACACCGCCCACAAACAGTCGGAAATATTGAAGTTTGAAACCCCATCTTCAGTCGAGAAACTAAAACGTAGATAATGAACATTTCAAAAAACATAAATATTCATATATACTATAGTGCTTTAATATGTCCTGCTAGTGGTAGACCTCCGAAATTTTAGCTAAAATATAAAAAAAAAACACACAAAGAAAA